AAAATTAAGAAATAAATATAAATAATTCTTTTTTTGTTCCAAAATGACTACAAATTATAACATGAAAATACAAGAGTTTAGTCTAAATAGCTTAAATATCTTAACATTATACATTTATATATATTTATTATTTTTATTATATTGACCTTTTCAGCCGTGCCTAGCTAACATTATAGAAACTGCAATGACGAGGCCCATGTGCACTCATGTTACCGTATCCAATAGTATAAAATTGGCCTTTACAAAGTGACCTGTCTTGGCTCTGTTTTAGTGAACTAGTATTTTGTAAGATACAGTCACATTTCAGTTATAATACATTATACATGTATATACATTATTACTATTTACAAATAAGTTCTTGAATTTATTTTTCTTAAATATAGAACAGTAAATAAAGAACTATAGCAAACAATTATCTCTTCTAGTTACAAACTTTGTATTCATTTGCTGCTTGACGTAGGTTGCTAAGCCTTATCAAATTTTGCACATGGAGGATGTGAAACGAAATAATGTTTTTGAGGTTTTATATATGTATTTTGATATAATCAAAAATCATAAATTACTATATCAATACCATAGAATTCCACTATAAATTATCAAGCTTAGTACTTAAGCTATATTTTGGTCTAAAAAAATAGGAAATTTCGAGCTCATAAAGTTTTACCTTACCAGTTGGAATCTTGTATAAAAAGAGAGTTTGGTATCCGTAGATTTGAAGAAGGCTAAGAAAGTCACTAAGGGAACATTCTGAGCTTTTGATTGGTTATTCACATGTCATAGACAGAAGCAGATGTATGTAAGCGTTTCGAAAAATGTAAAGAGGTAGGCATGGCACATGTAGCGACATCCCAGCAAATAGAAAAGATAGGAGGTTCTTATTTTACATACCAGCTTCTCAATATAGGTAATTTGAGTTCCTAATTTGTAAGAAACTATAGACTTTGAACTTGGACATAACAAACATCTAATCTGAACCAATGTTGGATTTGACATACAACGTGACACACAATAATCAATATTTATGTTTTTTTTTTATATTTACTTTGAAATTAAGAAATTGAATAATGTATAATACTAAATTTGAATTATAATCTTCAATTTGATACCAAACTTATTGACATAAATTCATATAATAGTATTTGGATAAAAATTTGAATGTGAGTAAACAAATGTGATGACATGGCCTTTGACCTGTGTTGATAGGGTTAAACCTTGAATTCATACTAAGAATATGTAGAATTTAGAAACAAGAAATTACTTGAATGCTAAATCGTGTAAACAATTTAAATTCAAATACAAAAATTAGTAAATTGGTGAATAAATTTCATCAGAAACGGCAACAAATCACAAGGAAAAATTGTAGTCACACTTGGAAAGTTTAAGTACACATCTAAGCAAGGTCATGCCAATCAAGAAAGTGAGGACTGAGTGGGAATAGCAGAGGGAGCTAGCTGCGCCAGTATAGATTGTGTGATACTATTGGTGGAGAGTAGGCACATGATATGTACATGTTTAGAAATAGTGCAAAACTGATGGGGTATAAATACTGGTGCGCTGTTGGCAAAATTATTTTTAAGCAATGCTTAGAGGGCAAACAAGGATTGAAATAGCTTTGTGTAAGAAGGTAAGACCATTTCAGAAGCTGTCAAAATAATAAAGCAAAGCAAAATTATAGGCACATTACTAAAACAGTACATTTGTGGAACACCTGACAACATATACACTATATCTATGGCAACCCATTACCCTTTAAAACAGAGCTGTTTACTGTAATTTAGTGTCACTCAGTGGACTTATAATTGCTACTCATAGTTTAACTGTACTACATTGTCTTCTTTCAACCATTTCACCACTACACATGCAGCAGTGTAATCTGTATTGTCTGGTTCCTAAATTCAAATTAAGAACAGCATATTGAATACCAGTCAATTTTTAACTCTCCTGAGAGTGACAAACCCTCTCTCATATGATGCTGTAACCATGGGAAGATCCTGAACAATCTTCAAAAGGTACATGATGTTCTAAAACCTTTAGTGAAGGCTATCATCTTCTAAAAGCAAATGCCACAATTCTGTGGGATGTCTTTGTTTTTGATATTGAACAAAAATTTTAAGTTTTATTCATTCCTAGTATTGTGCTAAATAACAGTCACATCTATTTAAGAGAAGAATTGATTCAACGTGGTTAAAGGAGTTGCAATCTTCTCAGTTCCAAAGACTGACAACTCCTGGTGCTTTTGAGACCATTTCTTATCTTCTCAGTACCAAAGACTAAGAACTCCTGGTGATTTTGAGCTCATTCCCTATCTTCTCAGTACCAAAGACTGACAACTGGTGATTTTGAGACCATTCCTTATCTTAACAGTTCCAAAGACTGACAACTCCTGATGATTTTGAGGCCATTTCCAAACATCAGCAACATGAGCAGCTACAAGAATATCTCTAGTCTCCATGATCTCAAGGTGTTATTTTAAATGGTTCTAAATCTTGTCTAACAGTATCTTTGGTTTGCTCAAATGCATTACAGGCATCTTGATCATATCTAGAAAACTGGACTCCCTAACATGATCTGTCATGAGATTTATAAAGACATTCTTGGAGATGTGGTCCAGGTTATTGGTACATAGCTGTTACAGAAAGGTAGAATGTTTCCAGTGCTTGAATGGCATCACTCAAGATTGTGGTATCTGCCTGACATTTTAAGCTAAAATGCAACAGCCTGCATAAGGAAAGCATATTGAAGAAATCCATAATTCTTTAGAACAGTGACTATCTGTGCCTTTCCAATCATTTATGGGCTGTTTGATTTTGCTTCAGCTACATGCTCAAAATGAATCAGGATGGGAAAGCATTTCCTCATGAGTGTTGTAAGTGTATGGTGAAGATGAGACAGCTATTGTGTTCCTCCAAGATTAATTGGTTCCTGTAATTTTTCTTCCATAGCTTCAGCAACAGCCAATTGTAAATGCCAATTAAGACATTTAATATTTGATTCATTTGGGCAACCTCTATGATGGCAACCAAAGCTCCAAGTTCAAGTTTATGGGCAAGAAAGTGGGTGTCAAACAAATGGGGTACATCTGATTTAAAAAAAACTGAAACACTTTTTTCTTCCCAACTATAATTGAAGCCTCATCAGATCCAAAAGTAACCAGCTTTTCTTCCCAGTGCAGAATACCAGCTTACACTGAATCTGGAAAAAAAAGAAAAAATACATGTTAATAATTTTAAATAACTGTTGTGAATAAAAGATGTAAAATCCACATATCTGTTCAATAAAACATGCTTTCATTCTTGCTGTTATTACCATATTGTGGAAATGCAAGTATGATATATGAAAAATCAACATTTGTAGTTTTCAATTAATGCAAAAAACACCTGAATTGGAAATTATAAAGTCCAATATAATTGTCCAAAATAATATCATTGAACAAAATAGCTACTTAATGTTATTGTTTGGAAATATATATATAAATAAAACATGCAAAAGACTGCAAGTTGAAAGTTTTCAATCATACCTTACTAGCTAAATATCTTAAAGAATCTTGTATATATATATGAAGATTTTATGTATGCTAAAGTTTTTTTCTTTGTATTGTTTTTCATAATTTAAAACCACAAATGAGTGGTTTAGTGACAAGTATCTAATTACAGCACCACTAGTCAGCTGAATTACAATACTTCTTGTATATAGAAATCATTAAAGCAGGAATAAAAACAACAACTAACCTTCTCAGAGCACTGTCACCATTGTAACCTTCTTCTAGAAAGATTGTGGACATCCTACGGGGCATCTTATGGATTTTTTGCTACAGTCATGGCAGACAGACACCTGCTATACTATGAACTCTTACCGTAAGCCTGAATTCCTACTAAAAAAGCTGCGAGTTTCATCAGTTAGACTGGGAAACTGATGACAAACATCATAAAACATAGCATTTTTTCACAGTCATATTCAAGCCTGATAAAATCTTTCTTCTACTACACTCTACATTTTCATCTTCTGTTTTATCAGTATCTTTATTCATTTTATCACTTTCTTAAAACATTCGTTATTTTGAAGGAAGGAACATTACAAGTGCCATACCATTGTGTGGTACCAGATTCTGAGTGCACAAATGTGGTGAGTGGTGGGAAAGTTTGAGTCAGCTCATTACTAGGAAGTAGGGGGAGCTTTAAAAAAAAAAAAAAGTAGAAAAGTGTATTGTTTTTTATTGTTATATATTTTTTTCTTTAGCCTTTTAGGGCACTGATTTATTTTGCTGGGATAATAAAATGGCAGTTTTATGTGTATAACTACTCTGTACACTATTACTTCAAAAAATGTCATTGCCTATTGGGACCTGTAGGCCATGGTGAATATCAAGATCTGTTCGTTTATGTAACGTTATTTGGAACATGAGCTCAAAACTTTAATCAATTACTGGTTTCCCTCCCTTGATGCATATCATACTTCCACATACATCATGTAAAATAACACTGATTACTGCAAAGTCAAAGCTCCAATACTATAAAAATGTTATTCATTTATTGAGAATATGCTGGGATCTGATCCCTCTAGCAAATAACTTTCAGTCAGAATGAGTCAAAAATGTTCAGTAACTGCTGCCGATAATAAAGTCATTGCCTAAAGTTTTACTGTATTCATTATGACCTTAGAAAATTATATTTAATGAAACACCTGGTAGGACAAGTAAACATTTTCTATCACCCTGCAAAACAAGTGGCTCTTCCAAAAAATTTTGAGCCTTGAATTTATCAGCAATGATTCACTCATTTACTCTTTAATATGAAATGTACATCCTTTACTTCAGACAAAGTAGAAAATATGGACACAACAACTTGTGATCAAAATGAATGAGTATATCACTGATTTCTGTTGTGTAGCTAAAAGACAAAGTGAAATTTGTATCTTACATACACTCCGCAACATAACAAAAGTATATACACTAGTTGTTATACAATATAGCTAGGGAACATAAATAGGTAAATTTTACTTACCGTATATGAGGAATACCCACACCTCCTTGCAGAATTTTGTATAGCTTGCTTTCATATAACAACTGTGGGTGCCTAGCTTTTGTTGACTCAAGCTTTACTGCTACTTCCTGGAAAAATCATTTACAAATTTATATGTTTTATAGTCATTCACTTTGTAAATGACTTTAACAATCCATAATTAATACTAACTGTCATTCTACATTATAACTTTATGTCAAACACTGTACCCTTTGTTTTCACTATAGACTTTAATAATTCATAATTAATACTAACTGTCATTCTACATTATAACCTTATGTCGAGCATTGTACCCTTTGTTTTCACTATAAATATTTACAATCCATAATTAATACTAACTGTTATTCTACATCATAACTTCATGTCAAAGTATTTGTTTTCATTATAGACAAATACAACTGACTCAAGCCTTAACTATGTCAGTACATGTATATTTGTATGAAATCAGGAAAGGTTCATTTTTACTCGTATAAAAAATAGCAACAAATGATAAAATTACTTAGTTGAGCAGAAAGTTTTTGGCACCCAAATTGGAAAAATCATAGGTTTAATATTTTTGGTACTCGTGTATAATGTTAAAATAATAAATAAATAACACACAATGCTAAAAATGACACATATATAAAAACATGTTTAATTCAGGACAATCCATGGTCTCTAAAATGATGACATGTCAACACCACATTGTAAAAGTAAAGAAAAAAAACAAGAAATTGCATTAATTTACTTTAAGCATCAATGATTTTTTTCTCATGCTATTACATGAACACCTCTTAATTGTTCTTTACAATGAATACACAATAAAAATCACCACAAAATGTCTCCACATATAATAAATTTACAGCTACTCTGGTAATGTTTAGTTTTGTACAAACACAATTCACTCAGAATCTATATTTTATTCACCCCCACTTTACAAGTTATAAACATCTACTTCACAATCTTATCCTACATAAACATTCTAATACACCTATGTAGAATCTAACTATACATAAGCGAACTCTGTTTGTTAACATATATATACCTTTCAGCTTAGCAAATAAAAAAGACTTGAACAGATGAATCACACTACTGCTGTTTTAAATTGTGAGAGAAGGGCTTCAACACATGAATCGCACTACTACTGTTATAAACAGTGAGAAAAGGGCTTCAACACATGAATCACACTACTACTGTTATAAACTGTGAGAAAAGGCTTCACTACATGAATCACACTACTGCTGTTTTAAATTGTGAGAGAAGGGATTCAACACATGAATCACACTACTACTGTTATAAACTGTAAGAAAAGGGCTTCACTACATGAATCACACTACTACTGTTTTAAACTGTGAGAGAAGGGATTCAACACTACTACTGTTTTAAACTGTGAGAGAAGGGCTCCAACACATGAATCACACTACTACTTCATTTAACATATAATTTTTAATACTTATATAAACATATTTTTAAAAATAAGATGCACTACTAACAGAAAGATATCTTAGAACTGCAGTTACAATAATCTAGATTTTACATACATTAATGTCCCACACTCAGCAAGTTTTAAGAATATTCAATATGGCATATATAAGTAAGAACACACGTACATATCATATTCCTACACTAAATTATCAAAGTTTCATATGTATATGTAGAAAACAGTCATAGGCTAACTGTTTTTGCTCTATACCAAAACAAAATCTTGATTAGAGCTGTCACCATTCCAATTTTTAAAAATGACATGCTAGCAACGAAACAGGAATATTAATTATTATCACCTAATTAAACACAGTGTGTGAACAATGAAAATTTAAACTTCTAACAATGTATACCAGCTTGCCAAATATAATTAAGTCTCATAATTAGCATAAATATACAATTAAGGCTCTAAATAGTATCCTAGTTACATCACAACTTTGAAATTTTGAGTGGACTGATATACCTCTTTAAGCAGTTTCAGGCTACTAAGTTTATCTTGACAAAATCAATTTATAGAAATATATATGTGTATATATTAAGTTATAGATTCCATTATGGTTCTTTATCAAAACTCATCTATTTACATACATCTTTACATTTTATGTTGACCACAGAAAAGCCTACGGTTCCCATCTAACGGAAATTCAATTCCAGTTCCTCTGTTTTCCTGTTATGATCTTTACAGGTTTGTAATACGTTTAACATAGTTTGTACATTTTTAAGGAAGATGGTATTGTTAACAGAATTTTATGAGTTTATTGGTTAAATCAATCATTCAAATGCATCCCCATTATCCAAATGATAAAGGAGTTCAACAGAAGGTTTATTTACAAAATATAATGTGTTAATCATTACCAAACCACAAACTATCACGGAGAATGATGACATAATGAAGACTAGGAGATGACTAAGCTTTTAAATATTCTCTTCTCTTTTGACAAGAAATGTTATTTGTAATATTTCTGACCTGAACATTCAATGGAAAATATCTAAATGTTGATATCAATCCCTTGGTGGTAAGTAAAAAACAAAAAAAGATAAATCATAAAGAACAGACTAGATTTTATACAGTTTTAAAGAAGGTCAAAGAACATGTTTGCATTTTCTTAATTTTTGATACATTAACACATTAACTGCTTCAGTGCTTGGCATCATCTATGGCAAGTACTTGATAAGAGTTTTCATCATCATAGACAGCAGTACATCGATAATTCTACCGATGCTTAGCTGCCACACAATCATGAATTATTATTACAAGACAAAAGTGGGATCTAACACGCCATGAATACGAAAATGGTGGAGCACATACAGGCGGGGGCACGGCATCTAAGCCATGCATACACAAGCACTTGGGACAAGAGTTTTAGTGCAATATCATTGTTTTTCAATTTAAACAATAGCAATAATAACAAATCTAAAACGTGTAATCTTTACATTTTTGTATTTACGATGCACACTTGTGTTGTGAGAACACAAGAACGAATGCTAAATGCAGAAATGTGCATCCTCAGCAGTGGGCAGGTGACAGGATTGGCAAGTTGCTAATTTTACATCTATTTTTCAAAGGATGTGAGAAAAGTTGACCAAGAAATTGTGGGACAGTTAGTCTTACTTTTATAGTGGTAAAAATTCTAACCTTACTAATCTGTTTTTTTAAGGATGTTATTTGTTTTCTAAGCAATGTAAAGGGTGTGGCCTTAGCATACTTAAGATTCTACAAAGTTTTTGATCCCTTGAGGGATGAAATGATCCCTTGTTGTCCATATGTTGTGTAAGGTAATCTATATTTTAAATATATCTTTATACAAAACCATTGAAACATTTCATAAGCATAAAATTTCATGTGGTGGTGATTTCAAATTAAGAAATATAAAAGAACAAAATCAATCTTGTAATGTCATGCAGTAGTATGCATATTTCATTATGGCTAATCTTTAAACACATTGTCAAAAATGTGATAATATTCCACTGAAGCTCATTCAAAAACACTGCTATTCTTACAAATAAAAACTAATTTGCCATTAAAATGTGTGCAATAATGACTATATACTGTTAACAGACCATACTCTTGATTCCAAAACATAAATGTACTGTATGAAATTGTCTCACACCTGACACCTTTTTCCAGTAGTTAAACTCAGAATAAGTCTCACAGCTAACACCTTTTTCCAGTAGTTGAACTCAGACATAATACAAAGTATACATCTTACAGCTAAGACCTTTTTCCAGTAGTTGATCTCAAACATAAAACATAAAGTACACGTCTTATAGCTAACACTTTTTTGCAGTAGTTGAAACCAAAACATAAAGTACACGTCTTACAGCTCACACCTTTTTCTAGTAGTTGAACCCAAAACATACAGTACAAGACTTACAGCTAACACCTTTTTCCAGTAGTTGAACCCAAAACATACAGTACAAGTTTTACAGCTAACACCTATTTCCAGTAGTTGAACCCAAAACATACAGTACAAGACTTACAGCTAACACCTTTTTCCAGTTGTTGAACCCAAAACATACAGTACAAGTTCTACAGCTAACACCTTTTTCCAGTAGTTGAACCCAAAACATACAGTACAAGTTCTACAGCTAACACCTTTTTCCAGTAGTTAAACCCAAAACATACAGTACAAGTTCTACAGCTAACACCTTTTTCCAGTAGTTGAACCCAAAACATACAGTACAAGACTTACAGCTAACACCTTTTTCCAATAGTTGAACCCAAAAAATACAGTACAACTTTTACAACTAACACCTTTTTCCAGTAGTTGAACTTATGACATAAAGCAAAAGTCTCACAATTAACACCTTTCTCCAGTAGTTGAACTCAGGACATAAAGTAAAAGTCTCACAACTAACACCCTTTTCCAGTAGTTGAACTTATGACAAAGTAAAAGTCTTACAGCTAACACCTTTTTCCAGTACTTGAACTCATGACATAAAGTAAAAGTCTCACAACTAACACCTTTTTTCCAGTACTTGAACTTATGACATAAAGCAAAAGTCTCACAATTAACACCTTTCTCCAGTAGTTGAACTCAGGACATAAAGTAAAAGTCTCACAACTAACACCCTTTTCCAGTACTTGAACTCATGACATAAAGTAAAAGTCTTACAGCTAACACCTTTTTCCAGTAGTTGAACTCAGGACATACAGTACAATCAAATCAACAATACTGAAAAAAAAAGAAGAAACAATCTTATTTAAATGATGGATATGGAATGGTCGATATAAATTATAATAACAATTTAGAATCTAAATAGAAATGAAAAATACACATGGAAGTACAAACAATATTACAGCAGTTCAACATATAATGAATGATAAAACTGTATAGCACTGTACATAACATAAAAGATGGTACAGTTACAGAAACTATGTCAATGATTAAAGCAATAATTCAATCTTGAAGATACAATTTATAACCAAGACATGGTCTATCTTTAATATAAAGCAGAAAATTAAGTGTCTTGTATGTACGTAGATATCAAAAAAAGATTAATGGTAGGATTACAACGGATTTGACTTGCCTAAATCAAATGACAGATCATTCAAGTCTTCTATAAAAAAAGCAAATAGAAAGGAGTGTGACTAGGAAGGTCAAGGTTTAGATTTTATACCTTAGGAATGTACAAGTCATTTCCAGTTAATCAGTATTATTAATACTTAGATTTGCAGAGTAACCAATAACCATACCTTACTCATCCGTTTTATACAGTGATGTAAAACCAATCATCTTTTATATATATATCCCTGAACACAATACGTGTTTAATCATTTCATAAAGAGATTACAAGTTGTATATTGGCAAGAAACCTTCCATACACCTTAATTAAACTTTCAACCATAATAATCAAATGCAATCATTCAAAATAAGAAATGACAGAAATCTGGAAAAATCAAAAATGTTTTCAAAATTTCTCAAGCTTCAACTGCTACATGCTTGAACTAAGTCAAGTAAGCAACAACTGCCAAATGTGATGATCATGGAGCTAAATATAGTGAATTGTGGTAAACTGTGTTAAGTGTTGCCCCATTTTTAGTGTGAAGATTGATTTACAACAATTAATAAACATCCTCTCCCTCCAAGGAATGCTAGCTCCATTCCAAAAAGCAACTTTATCTTTAGCAATATGATATTTAAGTATTCACGGTTAACAATTTACACAATACCTCCAGAATCATGCAACAAAACAGATTTTAAAGTGTCACATCTTACCTCCAGAATCACGTATTAAAACTTATTTCAAATAGTGTCACATCTAACCCTGAGAATCATGTAACAAAACTGATTTTAAAGTGTCACATCTTACCTCCAGAATCACGTATTAAAACTTATTTCAAATAGTGTCACATCTAACCCTGAGAATCATGTAACAAAACTGATTTTAAAGTGTCACATCTTACCTCCAGAATCACGTATTAAAACTTATTTCAAATAGTGTCACATCTAACCCTGAGAATCATGTAACAAAACTGATTTTAAAGTGTCACATCTTACCTCCAG